TATTGATGAGATTAAACAGAGGTAAGTTATAAAGATGAGTGAGAATGGAAGCAAGAACAGACATATTTGGGATCCCCACTGAGAGCTAAGGGAAGGCCAGGACATGCTTCTGACAGATATGCTGAAGAGAATAAGACCAGGGAACACCAGAGTTACAGCTAGTGAGAGGAAGTGCAATTTTAAGAAAAAGACTAGAACTGCCCCAACAAAAGTGAAGGGGATATCTAAGTATGGAGTATTTTCCTTCAAATTTTGATTAGAAGACATTGCACATTAAGTGTGTTTGAAGATGAATGCAAGGAGAAGAAGGATCTTCAATGGGACTGAAATAGGTGACCAGAGAGTGCAGGTATGAGGAGAAAACAGTAGAAGAGAAGCTTAGGATGGGTGGGAGGAAAGAGTTGTGAATAAGAATGGAAGTAAGACATAAGATGAAAATCAGGTTGTATTGCTATTTTTTCTCTTGGTGTTGGGATACTTTATGAAAAGAAGAGCAGTAGTTTTGAGAAACAAATCAAAGATGGCAAGAAAAAAAAAAAAGAAAGGGGACAAAGATAAGTATCATTATAATTATGAAAGGAAGCAGGAAGACATTGTTGACCTGGCAAATAGATTTATCCAAGTTAAAGGAAAGGGAGATCATGTAAAGAACTGAAAAGCTGGTGAAACTGGAGGTAACTGTAAGAGTGGAGAAGAGCTCAGAGGGGAAATAGTAAAATAGCAGGAAGACAAATACTTAGGTCAAAGGGCAGGAAGGCTGTGGGCAGAGGACAAGAAGGTTTTAAACAGCCTGTGCTATGGACATGTTGTATTGTGCCCCTTGTGACCCAGAAACCAAATCCGCCTCTGTGCACATTTCTGTCAGATAATTATAATGAAGTTTTTGTGTTTCTGTATCAAGGCTAATGTGTTGTTGTGATATTGTCATCCAGATTCTTAAGAAATGTGCTGACACCATTTGTTCTTTTGGCATGGGCTCAATTGTGCCCTTCTGGCACAACTGGTAAGGGACACTATATCAATGAGAATAAGGCAGCAGTTTGTTTATATAGGATGGTTGTCCAAGGAATAAAGCAAAAAGGCAGGATCTTTTCTCCTGTGTTAGGATTAGCTCCACAGCAACAGAGTGACAGAGATTGCAGTTAGAGCAGCTTAATCCTACCAACATAAGGGTCTTTGTTTAGATGTTTATGTGGATGCATAAAATACTTTATTAAGTTTATGTGGATGGAAAAAACACTTTATTAAATGCAATGCTTCCCATAAAGGGAAAAGTCCTGGCCCTGTATTTTGCCTGTTGCACTTATTTCCCAGTTTGAATTGACAGTGATTTGGAGAGAAAAACTGCAGCAGGTTGCAGAAAGCAGACTTTGCGGTTTGTCCAGAGAACCCTGTTTCAGCAGGGCTTTCACCTACCAGGGATCCCTTACTGTGGCAGTTCATATGTTTCTTCTACTCTTCTGTGTAGTTTCAGTCAACTTTATGACACCTCTTTATTCCTAAACTTCCTCAACTGGGACACCAATGACAAAAAGGGGATTGTTCAGGCAGATCCACAGTAAACAAGGTGTCACAGATGTTCAACACTTTCCTAAAGCAGGTGGTTTATGTTGGTACTTTTATTCAAGGAGGTGAGCTTTAGGAATTTAAAAAAAAAACCATCTGGGTTAAAAAATATCTGGTCCGTGAAAGATTGAATGAATGATACAGACAAGAGAGCAAATCAAGCCCTTCTGCTTACAGAAGAGCATTTAGAGGGTGTTTTGTGTGACAGCAGATATCTTCCATACTCAAGGTGTTTTGAGTTGCAAGAAGTTCTCAGGAACATGTTTCTGGAAAAGTATTGCAGGTCCTGTAGGAGAGATGTAGAGTTCAAGCACCTTTTAGTCTTTTCTAATGCAAGTACATGAGCTAACACTGGCTGAAAACATCGGTCTTGATCTCTCTGCTTCTCCTGGCTTTAAAAAGAGCATGGCAATGACCAGTTTCTCTGTACAGGTGAGCCAAGTGCTAACTTACTCTGTATTACTTTCTGATGCTAGTGTAGGCTGCTGTTAAGACACAAAGTTAGTCTAGACAATTATTTATTTTAAAATGTACACCTTTGTGTTTCTGTCAATGCGTAGTGTAGTATCACTGTTAATGTTTGACCCAAGCAAATTCAGTAAAGGAGTTGCTTAACAGCATCAACAGCTCTGGATTTTTTTTTCTCAGAAATAACATTGCCAAAAGTTATATATGTCAGCACACTTTCAGTGGTAGTCTGAACACTGGTATAACCTGCATGTTAGGTATTTTTAGGTATGGTGTAAACTCTGCCCCACTCACCTAACCCCTTAGATAGGGAAACTACACAAGTATACAGGATACAGCATGGGCATGCAGCCTTAAAATAGTACTTTATGATGAACCAAAGCCACACATACTATTTATGACATTTGTGAAACCAGCTGATAGAAATATCTAATGAAATATATAAGGTGTAAAGGTGTAATGAGAAGCTTACATGATGCCTAGAAAAATGAAAATGTACTTTTCATGTTACATTAATGAATTATTTATGATAATAAATCATAATTAATTAGTTGGTAAAACAAACAGAGGTTTCTGATAGCCTGCTACCAAAGTACAGCACAAACCTACTATCATAACACGGATAGGAAGTGCCATGGTCTTCCCTGGGAACATTTTCTTGATCAGAGGCCACTCCTTTACACTGAAGACCACTCAACAGTATTAATAAATACAATACCAACAAAATTATCTTTTTTTTAGTCATATTTTCTGTCTATATGTTAAATTAGTATATTTTTATCTTCTGTTTAAAGTTGCTTTCCAAAATTTATAGATGGCAATATTTTAATGTGTTCTGACTTAGAGCAGATCTTCACATCTTTGGGACTGAGTGCATTAAAATACATGTTCCTGGGAGAAACAAATGTAGCTATGTGGAGCATATCTGACTTTATTTGCTCTTCCACTTTTTCTGTTATTACCCCCACCCTTGAGTCTATCTCATACAATCACAGAGTCATTCAGGTTGGAAAGGATCTTTAAGATCACTGAACCCAGCGGTTAAACTAGAATTGCCAAGGTCATGACTCAACCATGTCCCTAAGCACCACGTATACGTGATTTTTGAATACCTCCTGGCATAATTACTCAGCCACTTCCCTGGGCAGCCTGTTCCAATGCATGACCACCCTTTCAGTGAAGAATTTTATCCTAATACCCAATCTAAACCTTCCCTGGCACAGCTACAGACCTGGGAGAAGAAACCAATCCCCCCTTCAGTGCAACCTCCTTTCAGGTAGTTGCAGAGAACTGTAAGATCCTACATAATCTGAGTCTCCTTTTCTCAGATAAAACAACCCCAGCTCACCACCACTCATCATATGACTTGTACTCCAGACTCCTCATCCACTTCACTGCTTTTCTTTGGATGCATTCACTGTTTCTGTGAGCTGTTTGCAGGCTGCCATCTAAAAGTCAGGTACGACAACAGCCAGACCTCACTCTTACCCTGGACTTACTATCACGGAGTATCACCCTGGATTTACATCCTGCTGTATGACTCTGGGGCAGGTGTGCTCAGCTCCAGGACAGAGGCATTGCTGTGCAGCTTCTGCTGGTTTATAAACATCCCCTTTCCCCTGCCTTCAACTGGAGCTCAGACATTCATTTGATTCTGTGTCATCCCACACTGTCTCCCCACTGGGCAGCTTTCCTCAGATGAAAGACTCATTTAGATCAATGCTTTTTTGCCCCATGCTTCTGCAGTCTCTGTCTGATCTCAGAAAAAGTGTTCATCCTGTCTACTGCCTGACTGTGAGGACAGGTCACTTAGGGTCTCCTTTTAAACAACAGCACGTCCTGCCCTGCTGAACTTCTTGTCAACATCATGAACAGCTGCAGCAAGGAAAATGGGAAAAAAAAAAAACCTTCTTATAGCCCAGAAGCACACAAGGAGAACACAGGTGTAACTCACACCAGGCCATTTGGTTCAGAGTCACTTGGGAAGGGGGGATATTTCTGAAACACTTGCACAGGACCACCAATGTCCTTTATAAGCAATTATGAAGACAAATGACCTCACATTTGTTCCCATTCAGTGTCCTGTGGCTTCTAGATGAAAAGATGTGGATGAACAGTTGGAGTGAGCCTGTGCTGTAGCCAACATCAACGTTTCCAAATAGCTCAATGGGCAAATGGCAGCTTGAGTGCAAATCAGAACAGCCTGAGGGCAGCCCTAATTTACAGCAACGTAACCAAGTGATGGAAAGAGAAATCCAAGGAAAATGCTGGTGATAATTCCCAGGACTAAAGGATTTAGGTCAAACTCCAAACTACTGAACTAGACAGAATCTAGTTCATTTCGGTTGCTTTGGCAGGCCTCTACCTCCTTCTGAGTATCTTACTCCTTTTTAGTAGACTAAGAGAAATGACATAAAATGCAAAATTAAAACAGACACCTGTGAAGGATCCTTGAAAGATATGAAGGATGAATAATGTTGGAGTGGATTCTGAAAGCTAAGATGAATGATGGGAAAAAAATTAAGATGGAAGATGGGGAAGGATGCTTGCTTTCTGACTTGAATATCTTGTGTAAGAGGAAAAATTGAAAATCCAGAAGTAAGAGGAAGTAAGGTAGAATGGAGACTTGAAATAACATCTTTCAGAGTGGGTATGAATCGCTATGAATAATGTATCACTAATTACAAGGATGTAAGTGCAGCCATGCATCGAGTTTCAGGCATGTCAATTGGAATTTAAAGGGAAATGAGAAATGTGATAATACGTCTATTTCTGTCAGAAGCCACGTCTATTGCTGCTGTTTTCAGGGAGAGCTTTCTTTCACAGAGATCAGTTCCTTCTCTTTATGTGGCAGTGAAGCCATAAACGCCTGTGGACTGGTAATCTGTTTCCATGGAAATGAATGGGATGTCACAAATGTAGCGCTATGACTTCATTTCAAGACAGAGTACAAGGAGAAGATAGACAGCAAAGGAGGGAATATCAGGTTATTTCAGGCTCTTATGACTGCCCACTGTAAACCTCCTTTGTTTGAGCAGACAAGGAGAGGAGGAGGAAGGTTAAACTGGACTGAGTCATCCTTGAGGTTGCTTGGGTGGGAGATGAAGGTTGTGATTATGATTATACCTTGTTGGAAGGCTATTGTGAAAGAAAAGCAATTGGTTTGTTGTTATTTGTGTCTTAGCTACATGTTTTCAATTTGTTGCAAGTGTTACATCCTTTGTACCAGAATAAAATTAATTGTATTATTTTTATTCTTATTTATAAGAACAAAATAGCTAATTTTGATGAGAAAGTGAAGAAACTAAATGTAAGAAACATTTCTTTGTTAGACACTAAAATATTTTTATTACTTTGTATATACCAGTTTTTCAGATACAAATCATTAAGTAAAAGATCATCCCTTTTCACTCTATTGACTAGCACAAATGTCTGAGCCTTCCTTAGAATAGCAGTAAGTACTTTACCAACAAATCTAGTTTTTTACAAGTCATTGTTGTTCAATTGCAACTTTTCTGTCTTCTTATTAGACTCTCTTTTACCAGACACTTACATTTGAAGCCAAAATGAGATTCTCAAATCTCTTTCTACTTCAGTGTCCTGTTTATATGTTGTGTTTACACAGCACATTGGGCCATGTTTGCCCTGGCCATTCTTCATTTTAAAGTTAGAAGTAAGGGGTATTCAATAACTAAAAAGCTTTTTTAAAACCAAAGAATATTTATTTTGGTAAATAACTCCCTTTTAAAGTCTGCCAGATTTTTTTTTTACTTTATTTTTTAGATCTTTGGATCCCCAGGCATTTTCCTGTCCTGGCATTGTCTTTTAACAACTGTTAAGTGTTTGTGGAGAAGTGTCTTATCTCAGTCTATTCTTATCTTTTTGCTTGTTTTTAGTATGTTTTTTCTTTTTTCTTTTCACATATTCAGGTAAACTAAGACACTGCAGTCTCACAGTGAGCAAGGCGAGAACTAGGTCAACACACTTTGTTTGTAAACCCTTACAGAACACTTCTAATTTTGTCACAGACATGGGAAAGGCTAGATGTTTACCTTCTTTCTCTGTGATTTGTTAAAAGACCAGCTGGAATATTAGAGTGTGACAATATAATATCAGTTTGTTGAATGTTGTCCTGTACCATGTAGTCAGGGCAACAGAGCTTACCTACCCAGCCACAGCCCTGTCTAGGTAGATAAGGATAAAACTGTGACCTCTTCCTTGATGACTTTCCACCCCTCAGATCTTTGAGAATAACCAAATTTTTCAAAAAAATCTGGCAAATGAGTAACTTGTACATTGGCAAGGAGAAGCAGCTGTTGCTAAGCGTTTCTTTAGTTCTGTGATCAAAAAAAGCCATGGAGTTGATCAGATGTTCTGCTTTGCCAGTGTTACTGCATTGTGCAAATGTTTTGAAGTACAAATCAGTTGGGCATCAGATGTCAAGTTCTAGAAGTGCCATTGTTTACCTGGACTGAAATCTAGTTACTCTCTGATGCATTCAAGCTTCTTGATGAGAATTATGTTTCAGAGGGACATTTTGACTATATGTTGTTGAAGGAGAACTTAGGTCATTAATTATCTTAATTGAAAAGACATTATAATGCTATCAATCACTATATGTAAATGAATAATAGGGAAGATATTTTCCTTTTTTCCTGTGGCTGCCTGTATCATGAGTTTGCTCAACCCAGTAACAATTATTTGCATCATAATTGTCTCAAGAGTAAGTTTTTCTGCCTATGTATAAATATTTCAGATGTATTCAGGATGCTAACGAAAAGAAACAATGAAGCTAATAGATCATCTGGATAGAAATAGATGTTTCAGACTCCCAGGTAATTACTTATACTGCTGGTAAGCCATGTATTATTCACAAATAAGAAAGCAACTGAAAAGACCGCAAGCATTACTGAGGAGATTCTAGAACTTCATGAAAACATTTTAAGAGACCCTTTAGGAGTAGTTTGAGATAGAAGATTGAATTTCAGAGTATTATTCCTACACAGTCCTTCTGCCAGGCAAATGCTATATACACAATCCCAACGTGTCAGTGTAGATGAGGCGCTGCCCTTCCCTTCTTGCACCCTGAGAGTTTGAAGCTCTTACATCTCTAAAAGCCTGTATCACCTGTAAGAGCAATTAGAAGGATGTGGAGTGGATGGATGGAGACCATTACAAACAAGCACACCTGTACTACTCCCCAAACATCCATTTGGTCAACAAATTAAAACCAAAAGCATGGCATTGGCCAAGACCTCTTATTTTGTATGTGTTCATCTCACAAAGCAGCACCTCAGGCTTCCTGGTCACTGACTCTTACTTTTGTCATTTGTTTTGTTTTTTTTTCCTGAATCACCAATTTGTTTGCAGGCCCCATTTTCCTTCCCCTTCAGTTACTTTGTTACTTTTTGACAGAGGGAAATGTCTGCTGTCACACTACATTTGCAACTGAAACCCCTGGTTTGAAAACTGATGAGCTGCTTTTCTTGCGTAATTTCCCTCCTATGGTTTGTGCTGTAAATAGAAGGAAAAAATAGCAATCTGTACCCCATGGTCATGGGAGTCATTATTTTTCTTTATTTTTGCAGATAAACAGTGGGAAATCTTTTACCATGTAATCATTTAAAATGACATTAATTTAAGTGTGACAGCATTGCTATGTTTTGTTTAACTGCCAACTCCAATTAAACATTGAGCATCTTTTATTACTTGGATTTCTGGGGTTGCAACAATGTATGGAATCTGTCCAGATTTAGAGAGAACTCTATATTAAGAGATTAATATGAATCATGTTGCCCTGTCTGGGATCAATTCTAAATTTGAGTCCACCCCATAGTGAATTTTAATGCTGGCGTTTGTCTTAGAACATTCTGATTGGAATTTGCTCCCTAATCAGTTATTTCTTTTCAGTTTTTAATTCTCCTCAGTCTCTGAAAGCATCTCACATTCCTTGATTTAGTGCTTAGCTTGATGTAATGCTTTTTACAGTCTATGAGTATCTTACCAAATTCTCCAGCTGACATTTCCATAAACTCAGCTGATGGGGTAGGTGGCAACTGAAACTTGTGCTGGGTGTAAAAAGGGCTTAATCACTTGCCAAAGAACCACAAAAACAGAATAAAATGTGACAGAACTTACTAACACTTCATTGCCAAGTAAATATGCCAAAACAACAACTTCCTAAGAGTGAAGACAAAAAATTAAAAAACTTCCCAGATCAGTTTTTGTTCTTTTACATTACTTAGAAAAATGGCAATATCCTTAGGAATCACTTATTTGGTAAATTATTCTACAGTTTTTCCCTGATGTCTCTTCTTGATGCAATGATGGCCCAGATGTTTCCATGTGTGCAAACTGTCATTTTTCTACTGAAAATAAAGGTAGATTACTGGGCAACAGGACAAGTTTGAATAAGCCATCCATTATCTGATTGAAAAAGTGGTAATAATATTACCCAGCCATTACACAGGATAACATTAAAAAAAAAAAAATGGACATTAGAAAGAGAAGAAGTGTATAATCTGAAAGTCCTCATGTTGCTCATATGACTCAGATGCAAAATTTAGGTTATTCTCTATTGGTGACCTTCCAATGCAGTGGAAAAAGAGAGGGTTCATAGAGTGAGTCAGAGTAAACTTGTGACTTTGAAGATTTGAATCCCTCTTAGGAGAAACCAGAAATAGATATCTTGACCAAATTAGGTGCCAAATATTCATACTCCCCAGTGAGATTTAAATTGTGTTTGTGGAGCCTAGTCTGTGTTCATTTGGCATCAACCTTCTTCAGCACTGAAAGATACAAATCTCTTCACAAGCTTAAAATGACAACTTCTCGGCTTTTTTATTGAAATAATCTTACAAAACTGTCAGATCAGCTCTTCTGGAAACTCTGCATTAATAAGATTTGAGATACCAAAGAATCTCAGATCTCTCTGAGTTATTTATTCAAACCTTAAACAAAGAAACAAAAGTCAACAGCTAGAAGATTCAAAAACTGTTTTTCCACATATGCAACCACATATGCAAAATCCTGATTGCCTGCAGATTTCAATCATTATACATTTGTTTCCCCTTCCCTTCCCTTCCCTTCCCTTCCCTTCCCTTCCCTTCCCTTCCCTTCCCTTCCCTTCCCTTCCCTTCCCTTCCCTTCCCTTCCCTTCCCTTCCCTTCCTTCCCTTCCCTTCCCTTCCCTTCCTTCCCTTCCCTTCCCTTCCCTTCTTCCCCTTCCCTTCCCTTCCTTCCCTTCCCTTCCCTTCCTTCTTCCCTTCCCTTCCTTCCCTTCCCTTCCCTTCCCTTCCCTTCTTCCCTTCCCTTCCCTTCCCTTCCCTTCCTTCCCTTCCCTTCCCTTCCTTCCCTTCCCTTCCCTTCCCTTCCTTCCCTTCCCTTCCCTTCCCTTCCCTTCCTTCCCTTCCCTTCCCTTCCCTTCCCTTCCCTTCCCTTCCCTTCCCTTCCCTTCCCTTCCCTTCCCTTCCCTTCCCTTCCCTGATTTGCTGCACAGGAAGTTCTTTGAGGGAGTAAGCAACCAATGGCAAGAGAAACCATCAATCGTGTGAAGAGTTTTAGGCTAAAACTTAGGCCACCAAGGATTTCTTTTAATTGTGGATTTCACTACATTTGATTCTATTTTCAGGGCATTGAACAATAATGTTTCCCTACCATGTGCAATGAAGAATCTCTGTTAAGCAGATATCTTCTACACTACAATGGAAAAAAAATCAAGTAACTCTTTATTTTTCTCGATCTGACTCCATGTTAATAAATTACCTTTAATTTGCATTCTGGGTGAAAAGCTCAGCAGCTCTATCTGCTCTGTGATTCAGAAACCTGATCCAAAGGTAGCCAGGGTGCCGGTTGTTGTTGCTCATGATTAAGTAGCTGCTGTTAGATATTAATCTCACTTGGACTTGAATGTGTTAGAGTCAGACCGCAATGACAGCAGGATATCTTCCAGGGGAACTGCAGAGTCTTTATTTATTGATCTAGAAGCAGAAACAATCTAGCAGGTCATTTTCTGCTAGTGCTGCTTTCTTCCTCACAGATAGTGGTGACAGACAGGAGACAATCTCTTTGCTAGATCATTTCCCCTGATTATTCATGCCTCCTTTGCTGGCATCACTTGCATTCCCTCCCTTGTCCTTTTGACTTTTTGTAAGAAAGATGCCACTGGATTCCTCTTTAAAAACTGAAAGCTTGAAGAAGCAAGGCAAGAATAATTTCAAGCCTTTTGGGGTTGGTAGGCTAAATAGGGGAAATAGGCCAGAAAGCACATTTTATGATGCAATAGCCACACTCCTATTGCTCTTCAGTCTATGCTTGGCCAAGAACTTTTAGACACTGAAAGGAAACTGTAGGGGTCCTACTGGTTATTTTGAGGCAGTTCCTATGTTTGCATATCTCCTTCCTCATGCTCTTAGCAAGAGGAGACTAGTGGCATTTATGTGAACACTCATGACTGCAGTAAAGGCTGTTTGGGGTTAGAACAATGTGGCAGGAGACCAAGTAGCAACTAGAAATGTAAATGAATCTCCAGGCTGAAGCTGAAGGCATTGAAATCAGCACAACCAAAGGGGGACACATAGTTGTGCAAATCTTTCTAGCTCCAGAGTCTTGAGGTGTTCAGCTATTTCTTTAAACATCATTATTCTCAAAAAATTAGTAAAAAGCTGTAAATACTGCCAATTCCAAACACCTATAACCATAAGACAAATTCTTTGCAACTCTTATTTTACTTGCTTTCCAGTTTTAACACTTCAACTATTCAAGCAGTGTTGAGCTTTGGTTTTCTCTTTAGAAGACCAGACTAGAAATAATTGGCTTTCAAAGAAAGATGAAGGCCTTCTGAATACATAGTTGAATAATCTGGGATTTGATTGGCAGGACTTGCTGTGGAAAACCTGGCTGTGACTCCATGGGGTTGGCCACAGGAGGTCACAGGGAGAAGCCACCTCAGCTGTGTAAGCTGTGTTCCTCTTCCCCTTCTGCAAAAAGTGAACATCATTATCAAGGGCAGCTCTGAAGATTCAGCCCCTCCTCTAACAGCATATATGGTAAATGCTCACACATGAGATTTAGGTACAATTTCTTCCTTTTTGCAGTGGTTGCACTCTGTGCTGCTCCTTGTGATACAGAAAGAGTACATTGGAAAGTAACTGCTAAGTCTGGATAGCAAACTAGACTAAGCCAAGCAATTGTTCACCCAAAATTTGTTTTCATCAAAGTGTTAACAAATAAAAATATACAAAACAAACAAAAAGAAAAAAAAATCAGTCTACTGTATTATTATTGGAAAGCCTATAAGATCATGGATATCCAACATGAACTGAAGCTCCAATGCACACTGAAACAGATGTTCTTTAATGCACTTAGCATGTTATAAACTACTGGAGCTAAACAGGAATATTTTCATCACCTTTCCTGACCAAGTACGTTCTGGTTTAGTGTGTATCTCCTCCAATGTGTTGGAGTAAAATAAAAATTACACTTTCTGCAGCACAAATAACTTCTTGTTTGTGATATGTCTTCTTTATGTTCTCAGTATTTGCTTTGCATAAACATCTGCCACAGCTCAGCAACCATGAAACACAGAAGAAATGGATTTGCTGAGACATTTATGGCTATATGGTGCTGATGAGCTTTTAAATCACATAATAAGAGTCATACAATAAGCAAGAAACAGGAACAAAAAAGAAAGAACCTTTGAACAAAAAAATGCATATTTTTCATTTTACCAGCTTTACCAAATAGACCAATATAAATCTATAGGGTCAAAACTTTTAAGAAATAGAGCTGCCCAGAACTAATATATACAAGCCACAGTAATTCCAAACAAGCAAAGAGCCTGTCACTGGAGCTAAAGTTTTTGCAAACTGATGTCAACTCAGTAGATAATCATAGAATCGTTTTAGAACTCAAAGGGTTATGAGTTTTACTAGTAAATGTTATTATTAGAATACTGCCAAAATACAGTTTTTAAACCCAAAGCAAAAAAAAAGTTGCAATTTAAAATGTGTCAGTACATGAGTAATTAGAGAACATGCCCAGAATTCATGCAGCTCTATAAGGAAGATAAATAATTTAAACACGCATAAAGATAATTATAAAATTTTGGAAAAAAATAAACCAAAAACCCATGGGCTTGATATCCTGTAGCGCCACTTGGCCATGATGATAGACACGACCTGGACATTCAGTTTTGATAGAAGAGAAGGAAATTGCTCTCATCTTTCTTTAACTAAGACTATGAATCTGTGACTTCATTGCCAAACTCACTCCTTTTGCCCTCTGTACTCTCCTGAGGATGGAGAAAAAGCAGCTAGATAGAGCAAAGGCAAGAAGTAGTGATCATGAGACACTTGGGATGTAAGAGCAATTTAGTGTGCTGCTCCTGTAGTTTAAGCTGCTTGTTATGCATCTCATTGACCAACCTAGCAGTCCTGTCCATAACCACTGTCTTGGCCTTGGGGAGAACTCCTGAACATCTGAGATATTCCAGGGGCAAAGAAACCTCATCACACCATGCTAAAATTTGTTAGGAATAGCTGGATCAAACAAGGTTATTATGGACATACCTCTACTGTCTGTGAAGTTAAAGCCCTATTGACATCAAGGGAAAGAGGATCAAATGTTTTGTATTCTCTACAGAATGAAGAACTCCCAACAAAGAGTTTGTGGTGCTGTAGCTAACCAGCAGGAAATTTGCATTTTGTCATAGGTGCCTGAGGGTTCAAGATTCTGCCTTTATCATGTTTAATTTAGCACTTGCAAAAACAAACCAGATAAAGCTATGTAGTACCTCTGCAAAAATAAATAACTTTTTCAGTGCCAAGCCTTGAGCTCACTTAATAATATTTCTTCAGAAACTGAGATGGTTATCAACAACAGTGTTTATCAGCTCATGGAATTATAACGATCATGTGGCAGTGTGAGCTCTATTGTGCTCTGCAGTTTCCCTTAGGCCTGAAGGACTAACCTTTTCTCAGCTTGGACCCTGGAGTGAGGAAAATTACTGTTCTGATGGATAGCCTATTATTTTTGCAAATGCCAGTACAGGGCCTGCACTGTCTCTGAAGTCCAAAGTCTGCCTGCAAGGCAAATGTCACTCTGGAGCTTTAGAGAATGTGCAGCAAACACTCATTCCAGACTGAATGGACCCTATATTGAGATCAACTGAAATAAAGCTTTGGTGAATCTAAAATGCATTTTGTTGGGGGCAGGGAAAGCAGGTGGGAATTCTGTTCCACTTGTTTATAATGATCATAATTTATCTTCAGTTACAATGGCATCTTAGAGATTTTCTTCATCAGCATTAAGAACACAATAGAATTGTTGGCTGTTATTTTTATTAGCAAGACCAGACTGTGTGTGAGATAGAGTGCCAAATACTGTCAGACACATCAGACAAAGGCAATGTTATTGTACTACCACTTCAAAGTATCCTTTGGAGAACTCAGGCATGCACTGATTGTGCAAAACTAGAACTGAATCAGGAGCCGATTTGAAGTCAGACATAATCCAAGCCAATACATCAAATGAGACCAACTTGTGCTATCAGAGCTTCTGTGGCAGATGTGCTGGTATGTCAGGTGGAAACCAGACAAAGAAAATGCATGAAAGCAACATTTTATTTAATCACATCGATAACAAAATCTGTTATCTGACCATTATTTAACTAGGGGGGATTGTTTTGGTTTGTTTGGTTTAGGGTGTGTTTTTTTGTTTGTTTTGTTTTATTTTTTAAAATTTTGGATTGTTTATGTCATTTTAATTCATGTATTTCAAAACAGCTTATGTTCAAAACATAAAATTAATCCTTAGGCGGTACACCACTGTGTATTATATATCCTACTCAATGTCCTTGTGTGCTCACTCTCTCTTGCCTATGTTCAGTTTCCAGGTGCTTCTCATAAGATGCCCTTTTATCTTGTGTGGCATTATGCTTCTTAAACCTCTTTATGTGATCAAGTGGAGAAAAGCCTTCTGTGAAACAAAAATCCTTGATATGAACTTTCTAATGTGCCAGTTGTGCTCTTGTAGATGCAGGAGGAGCACCCTTGGACAGTAATGTAAGGGCAAAATATTGCCCAAAATGTCAACACTTTGACACTGTTTCTTTTTGTCATTTATCTTGGTGCAAGACAAATGATTTTTTTTCACTGTATAAATTTTCAGTTCACTCCAGGTAAAAGCCTGTACATTTCTGTTAAAAGCATCACACTTTAAAATTATTACCAAAGCCATGCACCACCTGATTGGAATCTATTCACAATTTCTTCATCTGTGAGAACTGCCAACATCCTCAGTCCTTCACACAGCACAGTCTGTTCTTGGCCATGGGGTTTCATTCCACAGCATCCCGCAACTGCAATCCCACAGTGTAGGGAATCACACTTCTGCTGCTTCCAATTCAAATAAAGGCAAAATCCAGCAGACAGCTGGATGAAAAGAAAAATCTCACTTTTTAAAGAACCTGGGAATCTTGTGTTTAAAAATTCAGCTTGCTCTTCCTCCTTGCTGTGATTATACAGTACTCAACAAACATAATTTTCCTGAATATTCTGGCATTCCTTATGAAACCCACGGAGCAGGTACTGGAGACAGAGATCCTGGCACCACATAGTGGGGTTAGATGATCAGAGTGAACAGAAGTCTGGTTTCTTCTTTTTCCTGTAGAGAGTGAATGTCCAACCTTTATCCAGGCCTCTTTACCAAGGCCCCTGTCCCATCCCAGTACCTGTCCCAGCAGGTAGTGGCAGACAGAGATCCTGGCACCACATAGTGCGGTTAGATGATCAGAGTGAATAGAAATTTGGTTTCTTCTTTTTCCTGTAGAGAGTGCATGTCCAACCTTCATCCAGGCCTCTTTACCAAGGCCCCTGTCCCATCCTGGGGTTGGAATAATTGTCTTTTGTATTGCTGGAGGAACAGAGCACATGGAGACCGAAGAAATCTTTGAAATGCTCTCCTGCACAATAAACAAGACTCAAAAAATAGGAGGAAAACTCAGTACAGTTTATGGGTTGTTTGGATGGTGCTTTCCCAGCAGAAGTGCAGAGGAGACTGGACCATGACAACCCTCAGACAATTTGAAGTATGTATGGCCTGTGTCTCTCTTTTACAGTCTGCACAATGAAATCAATGCTTCTAAAGAAAATCCCACCATTTTCCCTTATCTATAGGGTTTCCACCTCCACTTGCAGACTTTTATCATCTGCAGATTGAAAGAGTAAGTTAATGCAGTGAAACCAATGATTATGCAAATGACACCCTTGAGAGCAGAAAGAATGGCTGAAGTTCTGTCCGTGCACAAGGCAGAGCTGGGATCCGTTGCCTAACAGCTCGGAACTTTTTTCAGGATGCATTGCAAAATGATAAGTGTTTGGCTTCATCATTTCACTTGCAAATCCTTTACTATGAAAGCAACAATGATAGAAATTACTTACAAGAAAAAATACAGTGTTCCAGGTTGGAAAATTTGCCGTCTGTATGAGCTATAATTTTCTACAAGTAGTACCATTCTCATCTGTCACATTACTCTTCAGCTTTGGGGGAAAAATGGTCTACAGATTGGTCTTTACTAAACAATTTTAGTTCCAGTGAAGAAAAGGCTGGAAAAGATGTGCTTGACTTCACTGGAAAACGAGCCTTGTATTTTTCATAGCATTCCACTCATTCATTGAACCACCACTCTGTCTGCACTTCAGCTCCAATGACCTGCAGGGCTATAATTCCCTTCACAGAACCACAGAAGGGTTCAGGCTGGATGGGACCTCTGGAAGCCATCCGGTCCAATCTCTCTGATCAAGCAGGGGCACCTACAGGCAGTTCCAGGACCATGTTCATACAAGCTTCAACTATCTCCAAGGGTGGAGGTTCCACAGTCTCTCTGGACAGCCTATGCCGGTGCTCAGTCACACTCAGAGTGAAAAAACATCCTGATGTTCAGAGAAACTCTTCTGAACTTCCATTTGTGCCCATCACCTCCGGTCCTGTCACTGGGCACCACTGAGAAGAGTCTGGCTCCATCCTCTTTTCGTCGTTTTGTCGGGTATTTACAAACAGTGATGAAATCCCCTTGAACCATCTCTTCTCAAGGCTGAACAGTCCCAGCTCTCTCGTCCTTTCCTCACAGGGGAGATATTCCAGTCCCTTAAACACCTTTGCAGCCCTTCACTGGATTCTCTCCAGTATATATCTCTTGTACTGGGGTGCCTAGAACTGAACACACTTCCA